ATCATGATTTCCCCTCCCTCATCTCCTCCTAGATCTTCCCCACCTTTCCACATTTCCAATTTCATCCCTTCTTTCCCTCTCTGTAGAAAACAAACAGCCCTTTAATCTCAGCACTTGGGAGGCAGAGGCAGGCAGATCTCAGTGAGATTGAGGCTAGCCTGGTCTACATAGTGAATTTCAGGACAGCCAGAGCTACATAGTGAGACCCTATCTCAAAAATACGAATACAAAACAAAAAAGGTAAATAAATAAACCAGAATAAAACAAACAAAAAAGCACAAGAAACATGCGAAGTCCATAAAAGCAAAATTGGAAACCATAATAGGCAAGCAAAAGTCCAGTAAGGAGGCTGAGCAATGGTAGTGCACGCCTTTATTCCCAGCACTCAGGAGGCAGAGACAGGCAGATCTCTTGTGAGGTAGAGGCTAGCCTGATCTACAAAGAGAGTTCCAGGACAGGCTACAAAGTTACACAGAGAAACCCTGTCTTGAGGGGGGGACGGAGAAAAAGGTCCAGTAAGGTAAAAAAAAAATTCCCAGACAAAGCAATATAAGAAAGTATTTGCAAAAATACCACTGGGTTCCTTTTTTGTAGGCCATGTACTGCTGGACACAGGGTCTGCCCTCAAATGTGGTTTGCATTCCCAATGAAGCTCTATTGAAAAAGTTGATTTTTCCATTGTAAGCAGTTGTCAGTTGGAGATAGATTCTCAGAGATAGGAGCTCATGTTCATTTCCCTTCTCAGTGATGGGACCCCATCCAGCTTGGACCTGTGCAGGCTCTGTGCATGCTGCCATAGTCTGTGAGTTCATATGTTCCTGAGTCCCCTTGTGTCTAGAAGACAGTTTCCTTGATGTCATCCATCACTTCTGGCTCTTAAAATCTTTCAACCTCCTCTCTTTCACATAATTCACTGACCATGCCCATTTTTTAAAGAAAAAAGCTAACCTTATCTTGCCCATAGCCCTGCAATTTTGAGTTTCCCACATGTGAATTAAAGTTGTGGGGCTGGAGAGATCAGTGCTTAAGATCTCTTGCAGAGGACACAGCTTTAGTTCCCAGCAACCATCAGTAACTCCAGTTACAGGGGATCTGGCACACTCTTCTGGCTTCCTCGGGCGCTAAACTAAGGTGCAGAGACTTAGATAGAGGCAAATCACCTTCATACATAAAGTAAAAATAAATAAAGTTGTACTTTCTGTGGTTCTTCTTAGCATTCTAAAATAATGAACAAAACTGTTATTCTTATCCCTTAGAACAGTGGTTCTCAACATTCCCAATGCCACGTCCCTTTAATACAGTTCTTCATGTTGTGACCCCAACCATAAAATTATTTTTGTTGCTACTTCACAACTAATTTTGCTGTCATGAATTGTAACAAATATCTGATACGTACAATATCTGATATGCAACCCCTGTAAAAGGGTCATTTGACCCCCTCCCCCACCCAAAGGGGTTGAAACTCATAGGTTGAGAACCACTGCCTTTGAAATTTGGAGAAATGCACCACTGGACAGTGGTGGCACACACCTTTAATCCCAGCACTCAGGAGGCAGAGGCAAGGTGGATCTGTGAGTTCCAGGCCAGCCTGGTCTACAGAATGAGTTCCAGGACAGCCAGGGCTGTTACATAGAAAAAAGCTGTCTCAAAAAACAACAACAGCAGGGCTGGAGAGATGGCTCAGGGATTAAGAGCACTTACTGTTCTTCCAGAGGTTCTGAGTTCAATTCCCAGCACCCACATGGTGGCTCACAACCATCTGTAATGTGATCTGGTGCCCTCTTCTGGCATGCACTGTATACATGATAAATAAATAAATAAATCTTTAAAAAACAACAACAACAAAAATCCAACGGGGCTGAAGAGATGGCTCAGAGGTTAAGAGCCCTGACTATTCTTCCTGAGGTCCTGAGTTCAATTCCCAGCAACCACATGGTGGTTCACAACTGTCTATAATGAGATCTGGTGCCCTCTTCTGATGTACAGGCATACATGCAGGCAGAACTCTTTATACCAAATAAATAAAATCTCTTAAAAAAACAAAAAAAATGGAGAAATGATAAACAAGCAAACTTTCAAAACTGTTTTTGAGACAAGGTCTCCCTGGTTGGCCTGAAACTTGCTATGTAGACAGTGCTGTTGAAGTCAGAAATCACCTTGACCTGCGTCTTCTGGGATTGAAGAAGTGCACCACCATACCCAGATCAAAATAGATTTTCAAAATAATGATCTCTTTGTTAATTTTTCAAGTGTTTGGATGCTTAATGAAGATTCTTTGAAGTCTGCTTTTGGAGTCAAGAGCATGGATCCAAGCAGTGACTACCATTTCCTTAACCACATTTTGTGGAGAAGAGTGAAGCTCACATTGGTTTCTGGCATCTTTGAGGGCGTGCTCCAGCATGTGGATCCTAACAAGATTGTTGTCCTGAAAAACGGTTTGAGTCTACTAGTCATATTCCTCTGCCTCCTTAAGAGATTAGCAGCTGTGTGTTGGTGGTGGTTGTGGGCAGCATTAGTAGATGGGAAAGTGTTGTTCCTATTTTTAAAAAGGTTTGAGAAAAATATTAGAATACTATTCCCTAGCGGAGCAACATGGCTACCTGTGTTGGTTGGTCCTCACTTGTGTACTCTCACAGGCATTATAGTAGAAATTTCTTTTTTATTATTTATTTACTGTGTGAGTGTTTTGTCTACATGTGTGTCTGTGTGACATATGTATGCCTGGTGTCCACAGAGGCCAAAGAAGACAGGACCCCTAGAGTTACAGTTGGTTGTGAGTTGTATGGGTGCTGGGAATCAAATCCTGGTCGTCTGAAAGAGCAGCCAGTGCTCTGAACTGCTGAGCCATCAGTCTGGCCCTTAGGGTGGTAATTTTCAATATATAGTTTTAAGAATTGGGAACTTCTGTTAATTATTGTTTATATGAATATTGAAATCTTGTTATTGGAATTACTTTGGGCTTCAACAGAGGAAAAAAAACAGAGATGTAAAGAATTAATTTGTCCCAGACAAAAAGAAAATCAGAAGTCAGGAGTTCAGGGCCAGTCTCAACTACATAATAAGTTTGCAGTCAGCCTGGAATATCTGAGAACCTGTGTCAAAAACCCAAACCAGGGCTGGGGTTGTAGCTCAGTTGGTAGAGTTCTTGGCTAACACACAGAAAGCCTGAAGTCCAAACCCCTACCCCACATAGGACAGGTGTAGTGGCGCGTGTCCTTTGTTTTTGAGACAGGGTTTTTTTCTTTTCTTTTCTCTCTCTCTCTCTCTCTCTCTCTCTCTCTCTCTCTCTCTCTCTCTTGTTTTTTTGTTTTGTTTTTTTGTTTTTTTCAAGACAGGGTTTCTCTGTGTAAAAGCTCTGGCTGACCTAGAACTCAATCTGTAGACCAGGCTGGCCTAAAATTCACAGAAAATCTGTCTGCCTCTGCCTCTGGAGTCCTAGGATTGAAGGTGGATATCACCGCTGCCCTACTGGCACATGTCTTTAACCCCAGAAATTGGGGATTCTTTAAGTTTCTTTCTTTTTTTCTTTTTTTTTCCCCTTTTGACAGGGTCTCATTATGTAGCCTTGGCTGGCTGGAACTCACTATGTAGGTTAGGCTGGCCTGGAACTCAAGAGATCTGCCTGACTCTGCCTCCCAAGTTCTGGGAGTTTAAAGGCCTGCAACCATTACACCTGGGTCTTTAAAAGTTTTCTGTTGTTTTGTTGTTTTTGTTTTGAGAACATTCTGAGGTTTACTCTTTTTTTTTTTTTTTTTTTTTTTTTTTTTTTTTTTTTTTTAAGATTTATTTATTTATTATGTATACAGTGTTCTGTCTGCATGTAGGCCAGAAGAGGGCACCAAATCTCATTACAGATGGTCATGAGCCACCATGTGATTGCTGGGAATTGAACTCAGGACCTTTGGAAGAGCAGGCAGTGCTCTCAACGGCTGAGCAACCTCTCCAGCCCGGTTTACTCTTTATTACTCATTTGTAGGGTGTTGCTCTGTAATTTAACTGACTCTACATTTCTTTGGGGAAGAAAGGATTTTTTAAAAGATTTATTTATTATGTAGACAGTGTTCTGTCTGCATGTATGCCTGCACGCCAGGAGAGGGCACCAGATCTCATTACAGATGGTTGTGAGCCACCATGTGGTTGCTGGAAATTGAACTCAAGACCTCTGGAAGAGCAGCCAGTGCTCTTAACTGTTGAGCCATCTCTCTAGCCCATAAAGAAAGGATTTTATAAAAGTAATTTCAGTAATTTTAAGAGACTTCACAGTTTCTTGCAGTTTGGGGGAGATAATATGCATTATTAACCAGAGGGTTATTTTCTATCACAGTGAAGAATATAGAGACAGGCCGAAGTGTTCCAGGAGTGAAAATGTTTTTTGGGCATGAGATTTTGAATGGTAAGTTTTGTATTCCCTGATCACTAATTGGAATCTGCCATGTAAAACTCACTTCTCTGCCTTGTTCAGGCATTTGAAAGAAAGTAGAATTTGTCTTGTCTTTAGTGCTGTATATATGAACTTGGTTTTTTACTCCTTTCAAACCCTGTTTATAGTATGCAGTTGGGGACTCTGTGGGGGTGGAGTAGCTAGTAGCTTTCCATTCGGAAACTGTTGAAACCCTGTTTGTTTTTCAGTGGAACTAATGGATGAAGCAGAGCAAGGTGCATCGGGAGAAAGGGCGTCTTCTGTTAGGTATTACGAGATAGCTTCTTCACTATGGGATTTTCTAAATGAGCACAGTAGAGGAAAAAAACTTAATTAACTCTAACCCACTAGCTGCTTACTTCTCAGTAAAAACAAGCAGGCCAGTGTGGCTGCCTCTAAATGGCACTTCCAGTGTGGATGTGAGCAGTGTAGAAATGGGCTACAGCCTTCGCTGTTAATGAGTAGGGAGATCTGCACATGGCATTAGTAACAAAGGACAAATTCACCTGACTGTGATTTTTTGTAAGGATAGCATAAACACAGAAAGAGCTGGAATGGAGAAAATGAAAGATGAAGACCTAACTGTATGTGAGCCTGCTTTACCTGCACCAGAGGCACCAAGCAGCTCTCTACTCAATGACCTCAAATACTGCCCATCAGGTGAGTACTGGAACTCTGAATTTGCTAGGCTATTTTTATTGTGCTTCACAATAAAATTTGTGAATTAAGGTAAATATTATAAATTACGTGTTTAGTTGACATGGGGATGCATACTGTGTGCCAGGATTGGGGATGCTGCCCTCATTGAGCTCTGATGCAAAAGATGCTAGGTAAGATGAAGGAATAGGAAATATGTGTGGTGCTGCACCTGTAATCCCATCACTAAGAGGTAGAAGAAGAGGATCAAGAGTTCAGAGATAGGGGCTGGAGAGATGGCTCAGAGGTTAAGAGCACTGGCTGCTCTTCCCGAGGGCCTGAGTTCAATTCCCAGCACCCACATGGTGGCTCGCAACCATCCCTAATGAGATCTGGTGCCCTCTTCTGGTGCACAGGCATACATGGAGACAGAATGTTGTATACATAATAAATAAGTAAAATCTTTAAAAAAAAAAAAGAGTTCAGAGATAGAATTGGCTGCATAGCAAGTTTGAAGACAACTTAGGGTATATGAGACCCTGTCTCAAAAAAAAAAATGAGTAAAATATATAGAATGGTAGTACTCTATTACCAAATGCTGAGAAAGAGAAATAGCAGGACAGTAAGCATGTGGATTGTGTGCTTTCAAAGTTTTTGAGTGTCTAGAGCAGATCTTGTTAAAGTAGTAACATTCCCATAAAGGCCTAAAGGAGGGGAGGCATTGAGCTACTTGGATATCATGAGAAATGCTCTTTGTTGTTTTGTTTTGCGCCACCAATAGTTCTGACTGCTGTGATATTCCTTATGTAGTCCAGGTGAGCATCAATTTCCCAAGTGCCACAGCCAGGCCATGGTGGCACACACCTTTAATCCCAGCACTCAGGAGGAAGAAGCAGGTAGGTCTCTGTGAGTTCCAGTTCCAGGCCAGCCTGGTCTACAGCATGAGTTCTAGGACAGGGTCCAAAGCTACAACCTGACTCAAAAAAAAAAAAAAAAAAAAAAAAAAAAAAGAGCCACCACTCCAGGCTCTTTTATTTTTATTTTATTTTATTTTATTAAATAGGGTTTCAGTATATAGCTCTAGCTGTCCTGGAATTCACTATGTAGACCAAGCTGGCCTTGAACTTACAGAGATTCATCTACCACCATGCCCAATTTTTTTGTTTGTTTGCTTTGTTTTTCAAGACAGGGTTTCTCTGTGTAGCTTTGGAGCCTGTCCTGGCACTCGCTCTGTAGACCAGGCTGGTCTTGAACTCACAGAGATCTGCCTGCCTCTGCCTCCCGAGTGCTGGGATTAAAGGTGTGCGCCACCAATGCCCATCTCATGCCCAATTTTTAAATTGATTAGTTTTTGTTGTTTTGTGATAGTCTCACTCCTATAGCCCAAGATTCATTCTGTAACCCAGGCTAGCCTCAAACTCTCAACAGTCTTGCCTTGGGCCCTAGAGGCTGAGATTATAGCCTCTGCTGAGAAATGTGTCTAAAAGTGAGAAAAGAAAAATGTAAAGACTCTAGAGGAAGGGCATGCTAAGATCTCGAAGCATCAACAAGGAAATCATTAAACATGGAGAGAAAAAGGAGGAGGAATAGGTGATGAGGTGAGATTGTTGGGTCACTGAGGAGTTTATAGATCCTTAAAGGGCATAGGACTCTGAAGAGAGAAAGGAAGCAAAGCATCAAAGGGATTTTTTGGTTTTTGTTTTTCATAAAACAAAAAACAAAAAACATAGGGCCTAGGCCTGGCCCAGGATGATGTGGTAGACTTTGGGGAGCCCCTTTTGAGGGCCTTACCCTGCCTGGGGAGTGGAGGGGGGATGGCTAGGGGCAGGTGGGATGTTGGGGTGGGGAGGGGAGGGAGAGGGAGAAGTGATTGACATCTGAAGCAAGCTTGTTCCTAATTTGAACTAATAAAATAAAATAAAATAAAAAAACAGTCTTTGTGATATACACCTTTAATCCCATTACTAAGAGACTGAGGCCAGCCTGTGCTACAGAGACCCTTCTCAAAAAGCCAACCAACCTACAAGAAATCTAACAAGAAATCTAAACAGCTTTGTGAAGAAATTATAATTTTTTGGTTTTCATTTTTCTGTCTCACACTGTAGTCCTGGAACTCAAGGCAGTCTTCTTGTCACAGCCTCCCAAGTCCTAAGATAACAAGCAAGGGCCAACATGCCTGATCTTCCTTCTCAGTGATGTGTGTCTGTATATGTATGTCTATATCTACACACACACACACACACACACACACACACACACACACATTTTAGTTTTTTGAAACAGGGTTTCTTTGTGTAGCCCTGACTATCCAGGAACTCTATATATCGGGCTGACCTCAAATTCACAGAGATCAGCCTGCCTTTGCCTTCCAAGTGCTGGGATCAAAGGAGAGAGAGAGAGAGAGAGAGAGAGAGAGAGAGAGAGAGAGAAACTCTCAAGCAGTCATGTATGCAGACAAGAGCTTGCTGCCCCAAGAGTCATTGGCCAAATGGATCAAAATCCCATAACAGTCTAGGGATGTAGCTCAGTTCATAGGATACTTTCCTCATGTTAATGACAGATGGCCTGGGTTCCATCCCCAGTAGAGGCAGGAAGATCAGAAGTTCAAGGGCATTTTCAGCTACTTAATGAGTTAGGGGCTAGCCTGAACTACGTGAGACCCTATCTCAAATAAAGAAATAATAATAATAATACTAATAACAATTAGCAAGAAATAAAACTCCAACAGTGTGGGTATTATTCCTTTTCCAGGACTCATTTATTTTAAACCTTTACTTTTTGTTATGAAATATGTTTATAAAGTACTTGACTTGGGTAGGCCAAATGAGTCAGTGGGTAAAGATGCTTGCTGAGTGGTTTGAGTTCAATCCTCAACATCCACATAAAGGTAGAAGGAGAGAACCAGCTCTACAAAGTTGTCTTCTGACCTCCACATCCATGTGTGCATATATACACACACCCAACACATCATACACATGCATACATAATAATAAATGAGTCCTTTCAGAAAGGCCTCAAGGTATTCAGTATGTAAACCTAAGAAGTGCTGGGTTATGACAGGAAATACAGACCATTCAGTTTGCAGTATCGTTGGTGGGACTCTGGTTTACTCTCAGTTGACAAAACAGGGTGGTAATTAGTACTCAGCATGTGAGATGTGTGAGGGCTGAAAAGGTTATGAGAAGAATGTCTAAAGTTAACAAGAGGGACAGACACATTCAATGCCATCCTTCTCTTGTAGAGGAAGAGGAGGTGACATACACAGTCATTGATCAGTTCCAGCAGAAGTTTGGTGCTGCGGTAAGTACGGTCAATCATTTGCAATGTGGTCATCTGTATAGATATTGTGTCTGTGTCTTACAAATTGATTTTAAGGTCTTTGATGTTTTCCCTTATTAACAGAGTATCTTGGTAGTTTTATTTTTTTTAAAAACAGTTTTAAAATATTCTAGTAGTGTGTATGGATGTTTCATTTGCATGTATGTTTGTGCCTCCCATTCACTATGGAATCCTATGGAATCCAGCACAGGGTATCAGATCCTCTGGGACTGGAGTCACAGGTGGTTGTGAGCTGCCATGTGGGTCCTAGAAATCAAGCCCAGATCCTCTGCAAGAGCAGCCAGCATTCAACTGCTGAACTATTTCTCCAGCCCCTTTGGTGGTTTTAGAGTTTACTTTTATCTGTGTGTGTGTGTATGTATGTATGTGTGTATGTATGTGCAGGCATGAGTGTCGTGGCATGTGTAGAGGTCAGCAGACAGCTTTCAGGAGTCAGTTCTCACCTTCCATGATGTTTGAGGCAGGATATCTTTGGTTTCTGCTACTGTGCTGTGTACTCCAGGATAGCTGACCCAAAGCTTCTCCTCTCTCTTATCACCCATCACACAGTAAGAATGCCGGGATTACAGATGTGCACTACTGCATCAACCTTATGTCAAACTCAGGTCTTTAGGTCTGCCCAGTTAGTGCTAGTCCAGGGCAGCCTAGAACTAGCTCAGGTCATCAAGCTTGTATGGCAAGCACTTTTACCCACTGAGCCATCTCACCGGCCTTATTTACTATTTTTGAGAGACTCTAGCAAATAGCCCATCCTGGACTTGAACTTAGATCTACCTCCTACCTCAGTCCCTTCAGAGTAAGACCACAGGGGTGTACCACCATGCCTGGCTGGTCAACGTTTTAAGTATAGCAATTGGATATTTTTTGTTTTGTTTTGCTTTTCAAGATGTTTCTCTGTGTAGTCCTGGCTGTTCTGGAACTCATTCTGCAGACCATGATGGCCTCAAACTCAGGCCTGTCTCTGCCTCCCAAGTGCTGGAATTACAGGCATGAGCCACCATGCCCAGCTAGCAATTTGATTTTAAGACTGGGTCTCATGTACCCTCTGCAGCCTCAAACCTCTTTGTAGCTGAGGTTGATCTTGAACTCCTGATCCTTCTGTCTCCTGACATTACAGGAGGACCTCACCACACCCAACTCCTGACTCACCCCCACCCCCCCAGACAGGGTTTAGACCAGGTGTAGACCAGGCTGGCCTCAAACTCACAGAGATCCACCTGCCTCTGCCTCCAGAGTTCTGGGATTAAAGGTGTGCACCACCACCACCACCACCATCACCACCGCCCAGCTGACTCACATTTTCAAAGGACTATTCCGGATGGTGTTTAGGTATTATCTCAATGAAGTAGCTATCCTCATGTTCACAGGTGGACTTCTGGAGGGTCACTGACATTCCTGTTGGATGATGGGTCATTTTAACTTGTTATTGATTCAGAGACAAAGTCTCCATAATTTTCTCAGCCTGTCTTCCAACTCAGTCCTGCCTTAGCTTCTAGAGTAGCTGGGAAGACAGATGGACAGCACCATGCCTGTCATACATGTCTTTAAAGGGAGATCTGACTTTTTGCAGGTTTTTTTTTTCATTAACATTTGGGGTCTAAGTGATTTATCTTCCAGTTATGTGTTTATACTTCTGCCAAAAGTGAATTGAGGAGCAAATGTGTTCAGTGATGATTTGTATGTAAAAGTGAAACAAACTCTGGCTTATGTTAGTCAAAGTTGTAAACTTAAAACAATGGAGAAAAATGCCTGGAGGTGATGGCACACTCCTTTAATCCCAGGATACAGAGGCAGGTGGGTCTTTGAGGTTGAGGCCAGCCTGGTCTACAGAGTGAGTTCCAGGATAGCCAGGGCCCTCTACACAGAAGCCCTGTCTTGAAGAAAGGAAAACAACAACAAAAACAGAAGCTGGGAAGATACCTTAATCAGCAAACTGCTTGCTATGTAAGCGTGAAGGCCTGAGTTTGGATCTCCAGCACCGAGGTAAAAGCAGGGAGCATGCAGGCCAGTACCCTCACTGCTGAGGGGGCAGAGATAGCAGATTCCTGGGGCTGCTGACCATCTAGTCTAACTGTATCAATGAGTGCCATGTTCACTGAGAGCCTGCCTCAAAATGTAAGATGGGAAGTGACTGAGGGCACCAGACATGGATCTCTGTCCTTCACATGAATGTGTACACACATACTCACAAGTGAACATGTACACACACACACACATACACACACACATACACATAGGTGATCTAGGCTAGGTGTTTGGTACATTCTTATAATCTGTGTACTTGGGGATTAGAAACAGAACAATCAGGAGGATAAGACTACTTTAGGCTATGAGGCTTAGTAGGATGCCAGACTGAAGGTATATAAGACCCTCTTTTTTTTTTTTTTTTTTTTTTGAGTCATGGTTTCTCTGTGCAGCCCCAGCTATCCTGGAGCTTGCTCTGTAGACCACCCGGGCCTTAAACCCAGATCTGCCTGCCTCTGCCTCCCAATTGTTGGGGTTAAAGGTGTGTACTACCACCGTGACCTTTCTCAACCCGCCCCCCAAACCCAGTATTTATCACTCAGGTTAAATTTTGAGGTTGGTAGCCTCAAATATCATGAAATCTAGAATTATGGTCAAGTCCTGATTGAGGTATCCTGTGTGCTTGGTCCATCTCACCCAGCAGTCCTAAAGTTGTTGTGGATGTTGGATTACCTGGACCACTATTTCAAGGGGTTTTATTTGATTAAACCATGTTAGCTTGAAAGGAATCCACAGCTTCTCATCTTCTATGGAAACAAAAGCAGAACCTCTTTTCCAAAGCAACATATCCTTAGACCCAAATTCTGAAGTCAAGATACCTTTAAAATATATGTTAGTTTAGCTTAGCAACCCCTACAATCAAATGTGTCTTTGTAGTTAGTGCATTAACAGTCAAAAAATTCAAGGAAAACACAATAGTATACATATCCAGACTCTGTGTATTTTCCATCTTTATATGGCCCATTGTAATTTCTTTTTACTTTATGTCTTCTTTAAGGACCTCAGTTTATTATCCTTAAATTATTGTTTTTATCCTTGACTGTCTATCCTCTGTCCTCTCTCTCCCAAGCCCAGGCACATTTATCAAACACACTGTGATGCTTTTTTGTCTGAATCTGTTCTTATTGTGTATCTGTAATCCTTTTGTGACCAGGAGAGTATTTTAAAATGCTAAACAGGCTTGGCTAGGACTAAAGCAGCTGACTCCACCCCATTCCTTGACTTCCTGAGAGTCTAGTTTCATAGTGTAGGTACTGGCAGGAGCCATTTGTATCACCCCACCTCTTGGGGTGTTTTAGGTCCATGCTCCATATAAGTGTTTGGTATCAGGGAATCTTAAAAGAGCCATGCGCTTTTTGCTAGTAAAAAGCTGTCTCTTAAAGGAGCCATGTCTCTTCTTGCCTCTAGCAAACAGAGCCCACTTGAGAAAATGCTGCTACCAAGAAGCTGTGCTTAACTCTGTTGTTTTATGTTTAGAATCCCTTTTTAAGCTTTTGTCAGGTTTTATGTGGAAATTCTTGCCAAATGTTTGGGTGCCACATGTAGTTACACGTTTTTCTCTGTCTGGCCGAGTTCCACTGGACCAGTTTCTCTTCCACCTGCTAGTCTTTGCAACCACTTATGAAATAATAACTCAGAGGCTAATGGTAAGTATAAATTAGTCTATATTTTACCACAAAGCTCATGGCTTTTTTCCTAACATCCTGCTTCTCCGGTGGCTACATGGCGTGTCCCTGACTCTGCCTTCTTTCTTTCCACATCTTTGCTTGGATTTCCTGCCTGGCTCTATTTAGCTTGACCATGGCCAAAACAGCTTTATTCATCAACCAATAAAAGCAACACATATTCACAGCATACAGAAGGACATCCATATCAACATCTATTCCCCCAAACCTGTCCCTTTGAGACAGGGTTTCTCTGTGTGGCCCTGACTGTCCTGGAACTCTGCAAACCAGGTTGGCCTTGAACTCAGAGCTCTGCCTGCCTCTGCCTCCAGAGTGCTGGGATTAAAAGTGTCCTCCTTTTCTTAACAGATGCTCCACATCAAGAAACAAAGTGTCCTGAGTGTGGCTGCAGAAGGAACTAATGTGTGTCGCCATGGGAAACTCTGTTGGCTTCAGGTGAAAAATCTTTTCTAAACTGAAATTTTTCTTTGGTTTTGTTTCTGGTATGGTCTTATGGAGACTAGTCTGGCCTTGAACTCACTTCTGTATCTGCTAGCCTTTGAACGCTGTTCCTCCTATATCCACTTCCCAAATATTTTGTATGTGTGTGCATATGTTTATATACATGAATATATGGATATGTGTATATATACATGTACATGTATATGCACTTACCAATACATACGTACATACATACATATATATATATATATGCGTGTATATTGGTTGTTCTGGAACTTACTCTGTAGCCCAGACTGGTTTTGAACTCAGAGATCTACCTGCCTCTGACTTCCAAGTACTGGGATTAAAGGCATTTTCCACCACCATCCATGACCATGCATGTATATATTTTTTAACAGTCTTCTTTCTGTCACTCAAGAAGTCACTTAGAATGTCCATTATTGGTTTTTTTTTTTCTTTTGCTGGAAGTACTGGGGTTGAACTAGAGCCTCCTATATCCTAGATAAGCTATCTTTCACTGAGCTACAGCCCAAGCTCTTGGAATATTCATTCTTCTATTACTCATTTATTCTTTTCAAAAAGAAGGCCAGTGGGTATTGTAGAGATGGATCAAGGGTTAAGAGCTCTTACTGTCCTTGTAGAGGAACGTGGTTAATTTTCAACACCCCCATGGCAGCTCACAAATGCTTGTAACTTCAATTCCATGAGATGCACTGCCCACTTCTGACCTTGAGGATACCAGGCATACATGTGGTACACAGACATACATGAGGCAGAGCATCCATACACATAATATTTTAAAAATTAAAAATACCTAGGTGGTGGTGGCACATGCCTTTAGTCTCAGCACTCAGGAGGCAGAGGCAGGTGGATCTCTGTGAGTTTGAGGACAGCCTGGTCTACAAAGCCAGGTCCAGGATAGGCTCTAAAGTTACAGAGAAACCCTGTCTTGAAAAAAAGAAAAAGAAAAAAACCCACTTTCCTAGTCAACATAGCAAATTTACTAAGCTTTCCTAGTCAACATAGCAAGTTTACCTGTTTATGCTTTTCTTTCCTTCTGAAAATCCTAGTAATTGTTTCTTTAATCTTAATAATTGCAGTATCAGTATCAAAGATGTCAATAGCAAATCAGAGATACCCAGAACTTCACTCATATTAAGCAAACTCTACCACAGAGGCACACCCATAAGCTCCAGTGTGTCTTTTTTTTTTTTTTAAATTTAGTATCAATTTAAAGCTGTTTTTCCAAAATACCACTTGAATGACTGCTGCCATCTTAACAGTGAGAATGCTCACCATTTTCATCGGTGTCTTCTTTTGGTTCTCAGATCCCTCCTCTGATCTTTCCTCATCCCTTGGTATTGTCTGTTGTAGGTGGCCACAAACAGCCGAGTTTACTTGTTTGATATTTTCCTTCTGGGAAGTCGTGCTTTCAACAACGGACTCCAGATGATCTTAGAAGATAAGAGAATCTTAAAGGTGGGTATAGAAGCTGATTCCTGCTGTAATGAGGTAGTGGCCAGGTTCTAACACCTGTCTCCATCTTCTGACTCCTTAGGTCATCCATGACTGTCGATGGCTTTCTGATTGCCTGTCACATCAGTATGGAATCATGCTGAACAATGTCTTTGATACGCAGGTATGAAGGGTAACTCTGGAGTCAAGCCTGCACACATGGATCCTAGTAGAAAAGATTTCCAGTCTAAGAACTGATTGTGCCAAGTGTGGTGGCACATGTCTTTACTCCCAGAGTTTGAGAAGCAGAGGCAAGTGGATCTCTGTGGATCTCTGTGAGCTGAAGGCCAGCTTGGTCTACATAGAGAGTTCCACATCTTCCAGTGCTACACAGGGAGACCCTAAAAAATAACTGAGCTTATTTTTACTGGTACCCATTCCTGCCTGTTTCTTACATGAATTATGGATATAACATGTAAGAATTATAAAAATTGTATAGAAAGTTACTTAGAATCTTTTAGGAGGAAGTCTTCTCTTTTTGTTCGACTGTAAAAGTAAGAAGGAAGCTGGTTATGCCACAACATTCAGAAACTTAAGGATGTTAAAGGTCATTCAGAAGTCTGATGTGGAGACTTAAGATGAAGTGAATAAGCACATCTCTCCTTCATCATGTGTTTACCCCAGGGGTATAGTTTTTCAGGCTATTACATCCCTTAAAAACAACGAAACCCTGTTTATGGGGCTAGCAAGATGATTAGTGGGTAAGAGCACTTATTGCTACTGCAAAGGACCTGAGTTTTGTTCCCAGTGCCCACATATCCATCAGTAACTGGTTCCAGGGGACTGATGGCCTCTTCTGACCTCTACGGGCACACTTACATGGTACACATACATGCATATAAACATAGCCGGGCGTTGGTGGCACACGCCTTTAATCCCAGCACTTGGGAGGCAGAGGCAGGTAGATCTCTGTGAATTCGAGGCCAGCCTGGTCTCCAGAGCAAGTGCCAGGATAGGCTCCAAAGCTACACAGAGAAACCCTGTCTCAAAAAAAAAAAAAAAAAAAAGTGAATAAATTATTTCTTAAAAAAAAAAAAAAAAAACTATCTGGCTCAAAATACTCACTTGATGAGATCTGATTTGACTCCTGCAAGAGACCTGAAGAAAATGAGAAATGCCTTGCCTTAGCTCTGCTCTTAAAACTCATCTGGTTTCTGAATTGACTCTGAAAGTGCTAAAACCACTGCCTCCGTATGGTTTCTCTCCTGCCCTCTCTTCTTACTTCTTTCTTCCCTCCCTTTCCTTGGTCTTTCTTTTTTCCTTTTGGTACCAGGGATTGACTATTATTTTTGAGGATCAATTCCTAAGTTCCATTTCTTGTTTAAATATGTAGCTGGCTTTTACTTTTCATGTCTGTGCTTATAGAGTTTGTACATTTCTTATGTGTGCAGTTGCTTTGGGCCTCTCTTAGAGTCTTTCAGTCTACAGTATTGACACTGCCGGTGTGCCATGCTTACTCAGAAGTCTCAGAGGAGTCTTCAAGGAGTCTTCTTGTTCCCATGAAACCATCAGCATTTTATTATTATTTCTTTTTTGTTTTTGTTTTCGTTTTCCAGACAGGGTTTCTTTGTAGCTTTGTAGCTTGTCCTGGAACTCACTCTGTAGACCAGGCTGGCCTCACATTTACAGAGATCCACCTGCTTCTGCCTCCCAAGTGCTGGGATCAGAGGCATGTACCACCACTGCCCAGCTTTTTTTTTCAGCATAAATATTTTTTTTTCCTTGCTATGGAATGAGTTCAGGGCCTTGCGTAGAAGCTAAGAATTGTCGTTATAACTGATCACAAATTTAGTGTGACAGGCTTACTTTATTCTCTTACAGTTCTGAAGATGAGAAGGTTCACATCACTTTTTCTGAGTCAGGACGTCAACAGATTGTTTTAGAGGTTATCTGGGAGTGGCTGCTTAAAAAGACCTTTGGACTGGGTTTTCCTGTGTAGGTCTGGATACTTGCTCTGGAGCCTAGTCTGGCCTCACCTTTGCAGCTACCCACCTTCTTCTGCATCCCCAGTGCTGATATTGTGGGCTTGCTCTACCAAACCTACCATCTTTAGTGGAGTTTTGATTGTTTTTTGAGATGGGGTTCATGTAGCCCTGACCTCAAACTCTATATGTAGCCAAGGATGATCCTGAACTACTAATTCTTCACCTCCTGACTCCATTGCATTTTTAGTAGCTAGTAGCCACTTACATTTGTTGGTTTATGTCCCTTTCTCCCTCTTCAAAGCGTGTCATTCTGTAGGTAGGAAGCAGGAGGATTCGGGATTTCAAGGCTAGTGAGTACAAGGCTAGCCAGGACTACATAAGGCCCTGGGGGGGGGGTCGGGGAAGAGGGGGGAGATGGAGACTGGAAAATGATTCATCAGTTAAAAATGCTTGCTGTATAATGGTGAGGATTGAGGATTGGAGTTTGGATCCCAGCAGCCACATAATAAGCTGAGTGTCCCCGTAAGCATCTGTAGCCCCAGCTCTGAGGGAGGCAGAGACAGCAAGCTCTCTGAGGCTGAGAAACCACAGCCCCAGGTTCAGAAAGAGACCCTGCCTCAGGAGAAGGGGGATAGAGTGATAGAGGATGCCTGCCAGTGTCCTCTTCTGGCCTTCACGTGCACATCTAGATGCAAACATCTGTATACACATATGCATGTACTAACATAAACACATACACATGTATATAAAAAGTCTGAGAGGCAGCTCAGTGGTTACGAGCACTTGCTTCCCTTGCAGAGGACGAGTTTGGTTCTTACCAACCACATAGTGACTTACATCTCTCCATAACTCCAGTTCCAGAGGATCTAGTATCCTCTTCTGGCCTTAGGCAACAGGCAAACACTTAATTGCACATACATACATGCAGGAAAAATGTTCATACATATGAAACAAAATTAGATACGTCTTTAAAATTTTAAAAATAAATCTCAGGGCTGGGTGGTGGTGGCACCCAGTACTTGGAAGGCAGAGGCAGGTGAATCTTTGTGAGTTCGAGGCCAGCCTGGTCTACAAATCAAGTTCCAGGACAGTCAGGACTGTTAATCAGAGAAACCCTGACTTGAAAAACAAAACAAACAAACAAACAAACAAAAAAAACCAAAAAAGTTTCTGGCCAGGGGTGGTGATTGCTTTTAATCCCAGGTGTTTTGTTTTGTTTTTGATATGGGGTTTCTTGATGTAACTCTGATTGTCTTGGGACTCACACTGTAGACTAGGCTGCCCTCAAACTCACAGAGATCCACCTGCCTCTGCCTCCCAAGTGCTGGAATTAGAGATGTGTACCATCACTGCCCAGCTTAATCCCAGTTCTTGAGAAACAGAGGCAGGTGGATCTCTGTGAGTTTGAGTCCAGTTTGGTCTACAGAGTGAGTTTCACAATAGTCAGGGTTACTAAGTAAGATCCCATCTCTAAATAAATACTTTTTAGAAAATAAAGGTAAAAGAAACAGTAGGAGCTGGGGCTGTTACACAGAGAATCCCGCCTCAAAAATCCAAAACAAAAAAGAGAGAAAAAGTAGATGTTTTCACCAGGTAATGGCATTTGCTGCCAATCCTGAACACAGTTCCTATGACTCACATGATAAAAGGAGAGAAAAAAATCCCACAAGTTGTCTTGTGGCCTTCACAAGTGCAAGATGGCATGCATGTGCCCCACCTCGATGGGAAGTAACAGAACATTGTCACCCACTGCTGTCACCTTCACCTGGCCACAGTGAAGTCGCCATCTGTGTCTTTAAAAGAGCAGGGGTAAGCTGGTTACGATGATACAAGCCCGCAGTTCTAACACGGGGAAACGGAGGTGAGGGAGCTCCCTGCCAAGGCCAGCCTCAGTTACATAGTTCTAAAAGCCAGCTTGGGCTACATTTTGAGACTCTGTCTCAGAACAAAACACTTTATTTTATTTAGACCTGCTCTAATGATTTAGGATAATTCATCTGAAGAACCTTAATCAGATCTAGGGATTAAGAAATTACTGTCTTTGGTTTGGTTTTCTCTGTTTAAAGACGGGATCTCATGCCACCCAGACTGGCCTCAAACTGAGGATGACCGTGAAGTCCAGATTCTCCTGCCTCCACCTCCCAAATACTGGGATACTGACAAGCTCCACCGTACCCAGCATAGACATAGATAGCTTGGAGTCATTCAGCCTGTGGCATCCAGATAAATTACTGTTGCAGCTTTTTTTTTTTAAAGTCCCTGTACATGTTGCATGAGAGTGTAGGCACAAAGGGACTGTGTGCACATGTGGAGGTCAGGAGACAGCCTGAGGGATAGGTCCTTGCCTTCCTCTTTGCAATAGTCTCTTGCTGTTCACCACTGCGTACACCAGGCTAGCTCAACTGTGACCTTCTAGGATCCTCTCTTGCCCTAGGGGCACTGGGATTACAGACAAGAATCCTATCTGCCATAGCTTGCTTTAAGTGGATTCAGATTCTCCTACACACATGGCACATGCTTTGCTCACTGAGCCATCTCCCCGGCCCACTACAGTAATTCCTCATTTTATTCATGTTCTTTATCATGTTGCCAGAGTGGCTGTTAGTTTTTGAGCAGCCAGCTCTGCAGCCTTTATCCTGCATACTTCGTCCTTGTTCAATAAACTTGTCTTTTCTATTCTGAAGAAAAAAAATCTTAAATTCTTTGTTTTTCCAATCTCTAAAGGCACCAAGGTGTAATAACAAAAAGTAAAGAAAACAAACAATGCAGAGCTATGTTATCTCCTAGCTTTATTTTTTTTTCCAAAATAAATTGACTGACCTGCTTTAAATTTACCTATGGCATCTATGGCATGGCCTCAGGGAAGTGGTAAAGATCCCCTCTGTCTTTCTGTGTCTGTCTGTACGTTTCTGTCTTTCTCATCTTATGTAGTCCAGGCTGGCCGCCACTTCCCCATGTCTTAGATGATAATCCTCCTGCCTCTGCCTCCCAAGTACTGAGATTTCAGGCTTGTATCAGAAAGTCTAGTTTTTGCTTGGGTGGAGCCCAGGGTCTGGGACATGCTGGGTAAGCATGGTACCAGCAGAGCTACACCCAGATGCTTGCAGGTAACGTCTCTCAAGGTATTTCTGACATGAGATAGTTTTTTTTTTTCTATTGCCATTTATTTTATTTTATTTTATTAGTTCAAATTAGGAACAAGCTTGCTTCACATGTCAATCCCTTCTCCCTTTCCCTCTCCTCCCCCCAACATCCCACCTGCCCCTAGCATCCCCCCTCCACTCCCCAGGCAGAGTAAGGCTCTCAAAAGGGCTCCCCAAAGTCCACCACATCATCCTGGGCCAGGCCTAGGCCCTTCCCCATGTGTCCAGGCCAAGAGAGCATCCCTTCACATGGGATGGGATGAGATAGCTTCATTTTTATTTATTGTTGTAAGATTGATTGTTTTCTGTTTCATATCTCAGGTAGCAGATGTCCTTCAGTTTTCCATGGAAACGGGTGGTTTCCTTCCGAACTGTATCAGTACTTTGCAGGAAAGTTTAATCAGACACCTTAAAGTTGCGCCTAAATACCTCTCCTTTTTAGAAGAGAGACAAAAACTTATTCAGGTGAGTGGTAAAGATGTGTCACGTAAGCTTCCAGGTGGGCTCTGCTCAGGGCTGTTAGCCCAATCAGTAGAAAAGTGACAGCTGCCATATCTTATAAGCATGGGCATTGCAGAATCTTAGCTGTGCCAGTGAGGAACAGTTTGTGGTTTCAAGTGGATAGAAGCCAGAAGCTAGATTTGTTGATTATAAATTAAAAAGTACTCTGAAATAAATTTTCAAGTTGGGATAGGGGGAAATTTTATATGGAAATTTGAACTAAGACATTGGAACCAAAGTCATTTTAGTTGCTTTTCCTAAAGCTATATAAATTTTCTTTAATGCATGTCTCAGGGTACTATTGGTGTGAAGAGACACTATGACCACATGTACCACAGCAACTCTTATAAAGGAAAACAATTGATGGGGTGGCTTACAGTTTCAGAGTCCATTATCATCATGGAGGGATGAGGCAGCATGCAAGCTGACATGGTGCTGGAGAAGGAGCTGAGACTCCTACATCTTGCAGGCAGCAAGAAGTGAACGGAGACACTGGGTGAGGCTTGAGCATAGATGAGACCTCAAAGCCCACCTCCACAGTGACACACCTCCACACCTCCTAAAAGTGCCACTCATTTTGGGGGCCATTTTCTTTCAAACGATCACACTTACATGCAAACCTGGGTTGTGAATGTATTTCCTATAAAGTTGGTCATTGCTAAAATCTGTTCACTCTAGCACTTTCCCCTTCAGTGGTGCTGGGGACTTTGTATACGGTAGGCAGGTGCTCTGCCACTGAGCTATACTATACCCCAAACCCTCCCTCCAACTTTGTGGACTTTTGTGGTACTGGCAATAAAACCTAGGCTCCTAGACATAGTAGGCAAGCTACATAACTGGCCTGCATCCTCCAACTTTGAGGGAGAAATCCTGATACACCAGCCTCCCTCCCAACCCTGCTTGTCTCTGACTCACAGACACTGTATATGTGGGGTGTACATACCTTCTCAGGGGCTACTGATAATAGGAAAGTAGAAAGTAGTAGACAGCAATGGCAGGGTTTTAAATTTAGTTTGTTTTCTCTGGCTGCAGCCCTGGCTGTCATGGAACTCACTCTGTAGACCATGCTGGCCTCAAACTTACAGAGATCCGCCTGCCTCTGCCTCCTGAGTGCTCAGATTAAAGGTGTGCGCCACCACTGCCTGGCTAAATTTTACTGATTATTAATTAAAAATGGCTGGGCAGTGGTAGTTTGCGCATTTAATCCCAGCACTTTCAGTCAGGAGGCAGAGGCAGGCAGATCTCTGTAAGTTTGAAGCCAGCCTGATTTACACAAAGAAACCCTGTCTTGGAAAAAAAAAATGGTTTTCTTTCTCTAGGAAAATCCAGAAGTATGGTTGACAAGACCTCTTCTACCCCCTTTATTGAAAATCCTGGCCTTGGAAACAACCTACTTGCTTCCACTCCGCTTGGTACTCTTAGATGAGATGATGTCAGACTTAACCACACTGGTGGACGGGTACCTGAACACCTATCGAGAAGGTTCTGCAGACCGACTTGCAGGCACAGAGGTAGGTGCAGCTTTCTGAGATTGTGTTCTGTATTTACTGTCTCTTTCTCACATAGTGCTACCCACTGTTGGAATGGGGACTCCCTTGTGTGTTTGCAGTGTCAGAGATCAAACACAGGACTTCATAAATTCTCAGCAAACACTCTGCTAATGAACGACATGCACAGCCCTTTCTAATTTTTTTGTTTGTTTTAAGAAAAAATATGGTTGTGTTGTCTAGGATGGCCTTAATCTCTGTCCTGCATCCTTCTTGAGCAGCTAGGATTACAGTCTTAGGACACCAGATTTGACTGTGATGCCTACTCTTCACAAATACAGCAATTTTCATGGGGTAGCCTTCTGGTAAATCTTTTTTTCTTCCCTGCTTCTCTCAAACTTGCTATGTAACTCAGTTTCTGATCCTTCTGCCCTCATCTGCCCAATGCTGGGTTGTAGGCATGTGCCACCGTGTCCTGTTTTTGTAATGCTGCATATCAAACTCAGGGTTCATTCATTCTAGGCAACTAAATATCCTGCCAATGAACTACAACCTAGATCCTCCTCTTTTTGCCTTAAAAAAATATATATGTATATATATATACATATACATATACATATACATATACATATATATATATATATATATAGTCTGTAGGTGTCCAAATGTGTATATGCATGAGTGGGGAGTATGAATGGAGGCCAGCAGAGGGCACCAGATCCCTAGGAAGTGGAGTTATGGATAGTTATTAGCCATCATGTGGGTGTTGGGAACCAAACCCTGGGTCCTCCAGAAGAGCAGCAATTTCTCTTAGTGAGCCTTTTCTCCACCTCCTCATTTTGTTTTTTCAACAAAGTTTTATATATCCAAGACTGATCTTGAACTCTGTGTGTGTGTGTGTGTGTGTGTGTGTGTGTGTGTGTGTGTGTGTGTGTGTGTATGTGCTCTTGA